GGTTCCCGCGACCTGGCGCCCCCCCGCCGACCCCCGGGGTTAGCCCCCCAAAGCGCACCCCTCCCCTTTGCCTCCTTTTGGGGAGGGAGTTTCCTTTTTTTTTTTTTGCAATTCAGACTCCCCCAGGCAGGGGCGGATGAAGGCTCGCCGGTGCCCTGAGCGCTGACCAACCTTGGTGCCCCCCCTTCTTTACACACTGACCCCCCACTCCATTTTAGTTTGTTGACCTGTCTGACCAGATAGACAATGCGGGTTGCAGCAATACAAAAATTTATTCGTATGATAATACGATACAGTATAGGATAATAGTAGTACAATAGTACATCCTGCCAACCTTGCAGTTCGAAAGCAAGAAATTGCAAGTAGATAAATAGGTATCACTTCGGTGGGAAGGTAACAGTGTTCTGTGCGCCTTGGTGTTTAGTCATGTCGGCCACATGACCACCACGGAAACGTCTTTGGACAGCGCTGGCTCTTCGGCTTTGAAACGGAGATGAGCACCGCAACCCTAGTGTCGGATTTGACTGGCTTTCGAGCAAGGGAACCGTTACCTTTACCTTTTTACAATAGTACAAAGTAGGACAATAGTACAATAGACTGTACAAATGAAGCTTTTCACCCTTTCCCCAACTTTATTTCCCCAAATTTATTCGTAGGATAAGACAATACAATATAGGATAATAGTACAATAGTACAAAGTAGGATAATTGTACAATAGACTGCACAAACGAAGCTTTTCACCCTTTCCCCAACTTTGTGGCGCCTCCTTTGGCCCTGGTGCCCTAAGCACGTGCTTAGTCTGCTTCATGGTTAATCCGCCCCTGCCCCCAGGTGTAACCGCCCCGCAAGCATCAAGCTCCATCCAGTCCTTAACTGGCGCTGGGGGACCCACCAGGGATTTGTTTCCCAAGCCGGGAGATAAGGTAGGAAGGAAGAGGCGGTGCCCGTGTTCCTGAGCAGGTGCAGAGTGCGGTGCCCTGGCCACCCGGTAATCAAGACGGTGCTCTCCCACATCACAGGAACCAGATCCCGAGGGGTGGTTTCCCACTCAGATGTGAGCCGCCCCCGTATATCAGTTTTTCGAGGATTGGGAATGCCCTAGGTATAAATTGGAACGCCCTAAACCAATGTTCCCTCTAAGCTGTGGAGTCTTGGGAGCAAGAATTCTACTTTGTGAGCTACTGGCATGAAAGTTGTGACCGAGCGATTTGGCTACAGCATAAACTAGTTTGCTCTGGAGCCATCCTTCCTGGGCTAAGACAAAAATCTGTGAGCCAGAGACTAAGAAACTGTGAGCTAGTTCACACTAACTCAGCTTAGAGGGAACCCTGCCCTAAACTAGTCTTGGGAAATGCTCCCTCTAAGCTGTGGGGTCTTGTGAGCAAAAATCCTACTTTGTGAGCTATTGGCACTAAAGTTGTGAGCGAGCGATTGGGCTGCTGCATCAGTTAGTTGGCTCTGGAGCCATCCCTTCCTGGGCTAAGACAAAAATCTGTGAGCCAGAGACTAAGAAACTGTGAGCTAGTTCACACTAACTCAGTTTAGAGGGAACCCTGCCCTAAAGTAGTCTTGGGAAATGCTCCCTCTAAGCTGTGGGGTCTTGTGAGCAAAAATCCTACTTTGTGAGCTACTGGCACTAAAGTTGTGAGCGAGCGATTGGGCTGCTGCATCAATTCGTTGGCTCTGGAGCCTTCCCTTCCCGAGCTAAGACAGAAATGTGTGATGGGGAGGCTAAAAAACTGTGAGCCGGCTCACACTCACTCAGCTTAGAGGGAACACTGCTTGGGATGTGGGGCTGGAGTCCTTGGTAAACTCTCAAGCAAGGGGGGGGTGGAAGAGGAGGAGAGACTGAATCAGGCAGAAGCCAGGACCAAAAATCTTGGACCAGGCTCTAAGGTCAACAGCCAAAAAAGTAGCCTATCACTCTGGGCTGGAAGTTTGGGAATACTGGTCTAACCTACAAAGAAGCAAGTACCGGTTGGCTCTACGGGGCACATGAACACGTGGATTTGCCTTCTACTGAATCAGACTCTTGGTCCACCAAAGTCCATCTTGTCTACTCAGACTGGCTGAGGTCTTTCCCATCACCTCCTTCCTGGTCCTTCTTAACTGGAGATGCCGGGGTTTGAACCTGGGACCTTCTCCACACCAAGCAGAGGCTCTTCCACTGAGCCATGGAGCCTTCTCTGAATGGAGCTGTCTTAGGTTGAGTTCAGGCGGGCAGTTTGAAGGGGGAGGGAGTCGTGGCAAAAAAGTCCCGCAGCGACTGATGCGGGAGCATACCGGGAGGAGGCACATGGGAGCGTTCACACTGTTGGCCCGGACGCGGCTTTCTTTTTTTGTAATCTGGAGATGTGTGCTTATGTGTGCGCATGAGTGCATAAGAAAAACCTTCCCACTTTCACCAGGTGTCTTTTAAACTCAGGAGCGAAGCGTTACAAGACGGGTTGAGTACGGGTGGGGAACGCCAGACAGATGTGCCTGTGTGAACGGCCCATTTAATCTGGTTGTGAAACGCTCCTCACACGTGCCTATAATCGGGGCAAACTGCCCATCCGAACTCGACCTTAGATCAGGCCATCGGTCCATTAAGGTCAGCATTGCCTGTTCAGACTGGCAGTGGCTCTCCAAGGTCTCAGGCAGAGGTCTTTCCCGTCACCAACTGCCAGATCTTTTAACTGGAGATACACGGGGGATTGAATTTGGGACCTTCTGCATGCCAAGCAGATGCTCTACCAGGGAGCCACAGTACCTGGTAGTGCTGAAGGAAAGTGCCGTCGATCTGCAGCTGATTCAGGGCAGCCGCAGTAGGGTTTTCGAGACAAGGGACGAACTGAAGCGGTTTGCTGCTGTCTGCTTCCTTGACTTCCTTGGTGGTCTCCTTGATGGACTGTGCTTAGCTTCTGAAATCTCCCCAATGGAGACCCAAAGCAACTTACCTGATTCTTCTCTCCACAATGTTATGAATGCAGAACTTTTAGTTATCCAGGCTAGCCTGAGCTTGTCAGATCTGGGAAGCTGAGTGTTTCTATGCAGAGGCAGGCAATGGTACTTGGTGGTCTCCCATCCAAGGACTAACCAGGACCAACCCCTGCTTAGCTTCTGAGAGCTGCGAGACTGGGCTGGTTTAGTCCACCAACAGGGCCTAGCAGAGTAACTAAACTGAAACTTAGTTTGGTGTAGGGGTTAAGAGTGGCGGACTCTAATCTGGAGAACCAAGTTTTATTCCCCACGCCTGCACGTGCAGCTGCTGGGTGACCTTGGGTCAGTCACCGTTCTCTCAGAGCTGTTCTCTCACGAGCAGTCCTCGAGAGAGCTCTCTCAGCCCCACCTACCTCACAGGGTGTCTGTGGTGGGGAGGGGAAGGCAAAGCAGATTGTAAGCCGCTCTGAGACTCCGAGTGAAGGGCAGGGTATCAATCCAATCTCCTCCTCCTCCTCCATCAGAAGGGCCAAGAAACTCTTCGGTTTGTGTGTGTGTGTGTGTTATCAACAGGGTGCTGGGCCCACCAAATGAATCAAACTTGGTCTGATTTAGCAGAGTTATTGCCTATATTCAGTGCACCGTGCGCCTTGGTGTTTAGTCATGCCGGCCACATGACAGCGGAAATGTCTTCAGACAGCGCTGGCTCTTCGGCTTGGAAATGGAGATGACCACTGCCCCCTAGAGTCGGATTTGACTTGCTTTCGAGCAAGGAAAACCTTTTCTTTGCCTATGCTTTTTTTTTTTACAATTTTTATTTTCATTTTTCAATATCATCCTTATACATCTTATTTTCTAACATTAGGGGTTACATTATACATTTTCTTCAATCCACTTTATGGCTTTTTGCCTTTTATGTTTAAAGTTATCATCTGTTTTACCCGCCAAAAACATGTTCAGCTTATCCATCTCTATTATTTCAAAAAGTTTCATAATCAAATCTTTACTTGGTATTTTATCTGTTTTCCAATTCTTTGCAACAAGTATTCTTGACATTGTTATTAAGTATAAAATGATACATAATTCATTATATTTAATTCCTTCTGGTGTGATATTTAATAAGAAAATTTCTGGTGATATCGGTAGATCTATCCCTGTAATATCTTTTATCAATTGTTTAGTACTTCTCCAGAATCTTTTTATTTTCTCGCACCTCCACCATATATGAAAGTACGTTCCTATATTATTTCTGCACCTCCAACAGTTCCCTGAGACATTAGCATAACATTTAAGCAATTTATCCGGCGTCCAATGCCACTTTTCTTTGCCTATGCTAGTTAAGCAGAGCCTCCCTATCCAGTGGCAGTATACCTCTGAATAGCAGTTGCTGGGACAAACGGTAGCTGGAGGGACGGTCAACTTCATCCATTGC